AGATCTGAGATAAGAGACTCCACCATAGCCTTGTTGCGAAGTGTCTGAGAAGTGGTGTAGTTGCAGCGACACAGTTCTCCCGAAGTTCTGTGGCTTAAAGCAGCAATCAACTGAGATGTGTTCGAGCTTGGGCAGATCTTTCAACCATTTTAGCCAATGCTCCTTTTCCTCGGTAGGGATCGGGTCATTCCACTCTAATCTCTTTCGACATAAATTTTGTAATATCACTTTGGCTGGGAGTATCAATGGGGCTGCAAACCTAAGCGTATCATATACTGAGGAAACAACACATAACAATCCTCTTCTTGTGAGGGGCTTGTCGTTGACATCAAGCCAATGTTCAGCATGAGAGCACTAAACTCCATGCACGTTTTTCTTGCTCCTTTTCGCTTTCCTTGCCGCTTTCAGGACCACTTCCATTTTTCTCAGCAGCAGCTTCCTCCCCGTTTCTTTGCTCGCCAGTCTTCTTTGGGGTTGCCCTTTTCCTTGATTTAACTGGCAATCACGGTTTTCATCAATGTGGCTCCACAAATGCAACTTTTTAGATATCTCAATCTTTTCTAGTTCAATAGTGTTCCACACTCAATATAGCAATGTAGGGCAGTAAGTAACAGCGGCGACCTTTCCTTTGCTTTTTCTCGTGTTGCGCGTACTGAAAGCATAAAAGCGATTGAAAAAAATCTAACCATGTGTGTTGACTTCGAAATGATTTTGCAATGTGGGACAGTTAAGAACAATAGCGGCCTTTCCTTTGCCTAATTTTGTGTTGCATGCACTGAAAGCATAAAAACACAAAAGATCGAAAATAATCTGACCGAGTGCGTTGACTTTGAAGTGATTTGTAATTTTTTTGGTACTAGACATCTAAATCTGGGCGAAGTCACCGAGGTAAACAACATAAGACTTCAAATTCACCGGCAAGATTTCTGTATAACCCCATACATTTATTATGCATACAGTTCTTTGTTTAACTAAACAACAGAGTAAACAATAGCGCTCCTTTGAGACTTATTTGATTTGAATAACTCTAAATTTTACCATTTTTTTCTAAGTGTCGCATACTTTTAGACTTAGATTTTTTTCCAATTTTCTATCTAAAATACGCAAAAATGGAACGATTTCTTTGTTCACTAGTTTAAAAAAGCTTAAAAATACTGCTTTAGGCCTAAGCAAAACCAGCTGCTTGTGGTTCGCAATAATCTGTTGAGTGGGTTAGCCACTATTATACTAATTTTGTAAATGTAAACAAAGTGAAATAAAAATTATAGCTTACCTGTCGCATCTCTCAGCGTTTTTTTCCCCTTGATTTCCTTCCTCAAGTTCAGACCCATGCGTTGAAGCTGTGTATTTTGTTTCTTTCCTCCATGAAGTGGCGATCAGATCATGAACAGTGCATACAGTGGTACAAGGAACAATTTACGCATCTTTGCGCACTTCGTACAAGTCGGCAATATGCT